ATGGATAGAGCATCAGCTCTGGAGTCAGGAAGACCTGAGTTCAAATCCAGCCTCAGACCCTTGATCACTTGATACTTACTAGCTGTGTGACTCTGGGCAAGTCACTTACCCCCAATTGCCTCGGGAGGGGGCGGTGAGCACAGCTCTTAATATTATTAATTAGTTGAATGGTATTTTTTTTAATTTCAGTTTTGTGAATCCTTTGGTTTTCAGAATTTCTAATTTGGTATTTGATTGGGGATTTTTAATTTGTTCTTTTTCTAGCTTTTTTAGTTGCATGCCCTATTCATTGATCTCTTCTTTCTCTATTTTATTCATGTAAGCATTTAGAGATATAAAATTTCCCCTAAGAAATACTTTTACTGCATCTGCTAAGTTTTGGTATGTTGTCTCATTACTGTCATTCTCTTGGATGAAGTTATTGATTGTTTCTATGATTTGTTGTTTGACCCATTTATTCCTTAGGATTAGGTTATTTAGTTTCCAATTAATTTTTAGTCTATCTTTCCATGGCCCTTTATTACATGTAATTTTAATTGCATCATGATCTGAAAAGGATGTATTTAATATTTTTGCCTTTCTGCATTAAATTGTGGGGGTTTTAAGCCCCAATACGTGGTCAATTTTTGTGTAGGTGTCATGTACCAACAAGAAAAAGGCATATTGCCTTCTATCCTTATTCAATTTTCTCCAGAGGTAAACCATATCTTACTTTTCTAAAATTCTATTCATCTCCTTAACTTCTTTCTTCTTTATTTTGTGGTTAGATTTATCTAGTTCAGAGAGGGGGAGGTTGAGGTCCCCCACTAGTATAGTTTTGTTATCTATTTCTTCCTGTAAATCCCTCAACTTCTCTAAGAATTTGGATGCTATACCACTTGGTGCATATATGTTCAGGATATTACTTCATTATCTATGGTACCTTTAATGATGTAGTTTCCTTCCTTATCTCTTTTAATTAGATCTATTTTTGCTTTTGCTTTGTCTGAGATCAGGAATGCTATCCCTGCTTTTTTTTTTTTTACTTCAGCTGAAGCATAATATATTCTGCTCCAGTCTTTTACCTTTACTTTGTGAGTATCCCTGCTTCAAATGTGTTTCTTGTAAACAACATATTGTAGGATAATGGTTCTTAGTCCACTCTGCTATCTGCTTCTGTTGTATGGGAGAGTTCATCCCATTCACATTCATAGTTATTATTACTATCGGTGTCTTTCTCTTCATCCTATTTTCCCCCATTTATGCTTTTCTCTCTCCTTTCTCCCTTTCCCCTCACTAGAGTTTTGCTTTTGACCACTGCCTCCCTCAGTCTGCCTTTCCTTCTATCTATCCCCTCCTTTTTCTTTCCCCTTTCCCCTCCTACTTCTTATAGGTTAAGTTAGATTTCTATACCTAACTGATTTATGTTATTCCCTCTTTGAGCCAAATCTGATGAGAATAAGGTTCAAACAATGCTCATCTCCCTCCCTGCTTTCCCTCTACCGTAATAGGTTTTTGTGCCTTTTAATGTGATGCAATTTACCCTTTTCTACCTCCTCCTTTCCTCTTCTTTCAGTACAATCCCTTTTCACCATTTAATTAGATTTTTTATCATCACATCAAAAGTCAACTTATACCCACATCCTCTATGTATACCCCTTTTAAATGGCTAATAACAATACAATTCTCAAGAGTTACAAGTGTCACCTTCCCTTGTAGAGATGTGAACAGTTTGTCCTTAGTAATAACATGTTGTTATTGCTTTCTTTTCTGTTTACCTTTTTATGCCTCTCTTGAGTCTTGGGAAGGAGGAAAGAGAGAGAGGAGGAGAAATTTTAAAACTCAAAATCTTATTGAAATGAATGTTGAAAAATAAAAATAAATTAATAAATCATTAAAAAAATGTAAGTGTCAGAGGCCAGATTTGAACACAAGATTTTTCGACTTTAGGCCCAGCACTGTATCTAACACACCATGTAGGTGCCAGAATTATAGAAATTTCCAAATGGAAATGGAATACTACATCCTGACTTGACTTTATTCCTCATCACAAAAGTTAAGAAATTTCTCCAAGAGATAGAGGCATCAATAACCTGGTAACTCACATGATTTAAATTTCATTAAAAATCTATGGTCAATAATCATAGCTAGCCTTTGAAAAACGGACTGTTCATAAAGGGTATGCTTATTATCCAATGTGATAAAAAGTGTGCTTCACAAATAAGAATTAAAGAATGTGTCAAAATCTAATGAACTTAATGTCAGATCATGTAAAACAAGTGGCTATAGCCAAAGGAAAACATAACACATTAAAAGTTCTTTAAAGATGTAAGAAGTTATAATGTTTATATGTAATTATTTTGCTTCATTCCAAGCAATTCTCGCATCACTATACCCTGTACCTTGAGGCAGAAACACAAACTTTGATTTCCACAAAATTCCCAGATGTCAGCTATGTACTGTGTCCACTTGTCCTGCATTAGCTCCTTACTGGCAAGGGGGCTGTTGAGAAGTGTAGTTTTTCCCAGTGGGAAAGAGACTGAAAGAATAGACAAAATGGAAGCTGCCTGGGACTGCAGGACCCTGACAACTTAGGAGCCCAGGGACAAACATGGAGCCAATAGACTGCCAAATTCAGAGATTTCATCAGTCAGGTAAGGGCTGGTCTTCTCCATCAATGACCCTTCAGTTCTTCCTTCCAGCTGGGAAAACTGGATTTCCCTTCGCCCCCTGCCATCTGGGAACTAAGAAATAAAAGAGGCAGGGTGAACAGGAGATGGGAAGGATGTTAGATTGTATAGGGATACAGAGAGGTAGGACAAAGATAGCTGTCTGAGGCAATGTTAGTCAGCTGGAGCTTTTATCTTGGCATTATCCTCGACTCGTTCTTCCTCAACCCATATATCCTGTCAGGTGCCAAATCTTCTCACTTCTACTCCCACATTTCTCACATCCTATCCCTTTTTTCTATTGCACAGGGACCACGTTGGTTGAAGCTCTCATTATCTTATGTAGAAGGTATGACTGGCTCTCGGTGTAGCTCAGGTAGGGGAGAATAAGCTACGGGAAGTAAGCTGAGGAACTAGGAAATTAGGATGTTGGAGGGAACATCAATACTAATGTTGAAAGCTCCTAATATATAAAAGTAGAAGTTGGAGAAAAAAGAAAGACTTTGAGCCAGTCACTGAACTCACTGAAGGAGAATGTCCCAGAGGTCAATAAAGAAACTATCAGAATCTTGATTGAGTGATAAATATGGACTGAATGAACCTCAAAGGAGAAGTCACCAAATGACGGTAAAGTCTGAAAGTGGCAATGGAGAACAAGAAGTATTCCAACTCCCCAACCATGACCAGTGAGTCAGTGGAACATGTGAAGGTACAACCAGTACTGGAGAAGGGTGGCCAGGGAATCTGTGTCATGAAGAGGGAGCCAAGTCTCAGTAAGCACAAGAAGATGGAAGGAGTGATAAAGGAAATGGTTTAAGATGAAAGCTTTTATATTCCCTAAGGGGCAGGCCTTGCAGAAGGAAAAGTGGGAAGATATGGGTAGAATTGAGTAGGACCTTGGGAATAGTCAGGTTGAGGATGGGAATAAGGAAGTAGGCAATGGGGGGAACAGGGAACTAGGTCTGTGCAATCACAGTCAGGGGCTGACAGTTATTATAGCTTTAAGATGCAGAAAAAATGCTGGAAGAATTAGTAATGACAAGTGAGTAACTGATGTGAAGCTCTCCTTTCTGAGGAATAAAAGTGTGTTTTATCTGCAGTCCATGAGAATCTACGAAGAATTTGTACTGTGTGCTTTTCCCCATACAGATGTGTTTTTCACTTTTTGTGAGAATCTACTACGGAAAGAAATGATTAAAACTGCTAGCTTAAGAGAAGCTGAAGAAATGTTTCTTCTCATTAACTGAATGATGCTGGAAAAGAGACAAATCTTTTCTTGGGAAGCTGTTTTCAGCTCTATTTTATAAAGAAGGTTTAAGAATAGTTTACTTAATATTTTGAGAGCACTGAAGGGAGTAATACTGGATTTCCATGAGTGAAGGAAACAAATTCCAGTATTTTAAAGGTTTGAGATGACTTTAATAGTGACACTGGTCATCATCAAAATATAGTATGTGGGTGTAGGTGTATGGGAGGGTATACATTCATATATGTGTATGGGTGTGTGTCTGTGTATGATATATATAGACTGTTTATACCCATATATTATATACACACATATGAATGTTAATTATTGCTCTCATTTGTTAATTATACATGTTTAGTATATTATTTCAATGTAAAAAATAATTGTTAATAAGAAGCACAATGACTGGGGCTCAGGAGCTATCAAAGTATGAGTAAAGCTCCCCCAAAGGTTTCTCCAGAAAAGTTACCTTGAAACTAGTTGTAACAGATCCTCACATCTCAGGAGGATGAAGTTAAGGGACAGCCACCTGATATACAAATTAGATAGGGTTGTGATCTACTCAAAAGAGTTAATATACCAACAATATGACCAGGCCATTCAAGGGACAGCATTTAGAACTTTCATGTTATCTTTGAGGACAAGATGGAGATATATGAGCTAGATGAAAAAATGGGTGAATGAAGGACTCAAGAACAGTCACTAATAAGTAGCTGTCATCTTGAAGGGACTTCTGTCAGGCCATGCCCTAGAGACTCATCATTCTTGGATGTTTAAAATTTATATTGAGTTACATGAAGATATAAATGATATGTTCAGAGAGGCTACAGCCTCTAAATTTGTTTAGTTGCTTGCTGGTTTATGTGTAGAAGGGATTCAACTTCATTGCATCTGTTTTAGACCTTTCAGACTGCCTTGTATATATAATATAGGTAGAAGGCTGAAGTGACTGACGCTGCAAATCCAGTAATATGTATGCTTGTGTATACAATTTATACTTTAAAAATGTAAACCGGGTTTTTAATGAATAAGATACAGAGTAAGTCAACCAAGGTTCAAAGCACAAGAGAAAGAAAAAATAAAATGCTTTTTGTTCATTTTATATATATATTTATGTAAAAGTTATTTTAATTCTTGTCAAAAGCAATTCCAAAGATTATACATGATTTCAAAATGAGGATGTCCCAACACTGGCCTTGTATGAGTCGTCCATTTCACTCCTTCTCTTTTATGTAGTCACTCAGAAATATGATATTTTCTGTAAGGAATCCAAAGAGAAAATAGTTATTTTCAGAATTCTATTCCTTTTTACTCCTCTTCTTCATTAGTCTATGATAGTCATCATTTACAAAGTACTTTAAAGTGTGCACTTTTTTATACATAGTCTGTCAGGCCTCACAGCCACCCTGTGAAGCAAACACCGTAAGTATTATCATCTCCATTTTACAAACTAGAAAATGAGGCACATAGATGTTAACTGACCTGATAACACAACCAGGGATTGCCAGCAACAGGATTCAAACCCAGGTCTTCCTGACCCCAAGTCTAGCACTCTATCCACTGTCATACACACTGCTCACTGGGATGAGTAAACAGATCTTTCAAAAGAACTTGGGGAAAACTATTTTGATTGATCAACAATTGTCGCTATGTTGTTATTCACGGTTAAAACTGTTGAAACTGCCTTATTATCTTTTAAAAGTAGTTACAATCAAAAGAAAAGCATGGAGAGTTAATGCTATACTGGCCTTTTTAAAAGAACATCTAATATGTGAAGGGGAGGCACTAATCTATAACTCAAGTTAAAAAGTAAAAGCAAACTACAGGGGCTTCTTTAGAAGCCTCTTCAGTCCAGACTGATTGGGAAAAGGTACCAATGGAAGAACAATATGAGGAAGCAGCTTTTTTAGAGACCCCTTGGACAAAGAAAGGTGACAAAATGTCCTAAAATACTGGTCCTGAAAAATACTAAAAAATACACGTCCCTCCTTCTCCAAAAGAGGCAGTAGGGGACCAAAGGGAGAGAATGTTGCAAACACTGTCACACACAGAGTTGATTTGCTGTCTTAATTGTTTTTCTTCGTCACAGGGAAAAGCTCAATGGTGGTACACTGGGAAATAACTGGTGTAAAAACAAGTCATCAATACAACTTTTAAAAAAAAGTCATAGTAAAACTCTTTAATTTAAAGAGAAGGGGGCATGGCCCAATTTTCAGTTCTCACTACCAGAAGTAGAAAAATCACAATGCCCTCATTGAGTTCAAGCCACAAATTACAAGCTACAGTCCTAAAAGAACTAGGAAATATGACTACTGAGACCCTGTGGGTGATCTTTAAATCTTGCAACATAGGGAGGTGCTTGCCAAAGAAGTAGAGAAGGGCAATTGTTAGCCCAATTTTCAAAAAAGTCTTCAAGCATCCTTTGCAGAGGCAGTGGGTACTATGGTGTGGAACATTTCATATACTGTCAGATTTTTTTGGGATATACTGATCAGTTCTGCAGAATTAAAAAAACTGTCATATGGGATAGCTCTCTGGGAGTATGGAGAGGAGCGGGTAAGGACAGAGGAGGAAATGCAGGTATCTCATAACAAATATTAACCTAATTCCCAACTAATAAACTGTTTCTTGACCCCTAAATGGAAAAATAAGGCATTAGAGAATTAACAGGTACTCAAGACTTCCAAAAGGTCAGTCACTAGATGCTTAATTCTTTTGGTCATAACAATTTATGAAACCATCTACTAAGGTTTGAAGGAGATGCAATTTACATTTGTAAAGGGAGTGACCACACAGATGAAATAATGGATTCTTTAACATGTATGTCACTTAGTGACATAATAGGAAAGGAACAAGCACCTAGCCCCTTTCTTGAATTATATCCTATGGGAATTCATTGCACCAAAAAAACTTTTATAGATTTGATAAATGGTAGTGGAGTTATACCTATCTTACAGTTGAAAGTAACATTTCAAATAATCTATTAGTTCATTTGTGTAATCCAGTATGTTGAGGTGGGGAGAAAAATAAATCTGTATCAGTGGATCATCTCTAAGGAGTGTGAAATTCTAGTTCAAAGAAAAAGGCAAAAAGGACTGAATCTTCTGGTCAGAGGTGGCACACTGGCACCACTTTAAGATATGACCTATGACAAAAACCCTTAGTTAAAAACGGTAATATAAGTCTAAATATGATTACTATTTGCAGTCATCAACTGGAGTGATAGGAGGAAGTGGAAACAGATAGAAAGAAATTTCTCAACTTTAACTCAGTTCTAAACAGGCAGATAGCATCTAGAAGTGAGAATTCATCCACCTGAGTTTTCCCAGTATCTCTAGGAAGTGCCTTTTTTTAAACTACTTCCCTTTATTCCTACCTCTCTCTACCCCATTCCTGAAAAGTAACCAAAATCAGTGCTGAAAATACACCATAACAGAGAAACTATACTACCAATTAGTAGTAACGATTCAATTCTATTTTGGTGGAAAGTCAAAGACTTTCAGAAAAGAGATAAACCTATACTTTAGCTAAAGAGTATCACGAATGGAAAGTTCAGTTGAATTCTATGTACAATAATTACACACTTAGTACTTGTCACATTTTAAGATAACACCTTAAAAACTTCCTCCCAATACCACAGAGAGGAAATATTCTTACTCAACTTTATAGACGGGGAAAATGAGGCTAAGACTGAGGCTAAGTCATTTGTTAAAAGTCTTACTGTCATTAAATGTCAGAGCCAGGATCTAAACTCAGGTCTCCAGACTCTAAGACTTTCTACCATATCACACTGCCTTTAATTATCCTGAACTCTTGGTAAATGTGCAAATTCCTCAGCAAAAACAGACTTAAAATTCTCCTGGGGTGCCTTTCAAGTGATTTAGTATTTAACTGAGTGCCTCATAAAAATACCCCCAATTCAAAATCCCACAGAACATGCTCTAGCCTTTACAAAGGACAAAGAGGGAGGATGATAAAGAATGTATTTATTCCCCAAAGGATAAATGTTTTGAAGAAATAAATTTCTCACCAGCTATGATTGTTGTGGCTTGTCGTCTCACATTGTTTTTATCCACATATTCACCATAGTCTATTTTCCCTTCTACAAAAACTCGAGCCCTGATGAACACAAAATTTAAAAAGTAAGTGAAACAGCTGATGCATTCCAACTTGTGCTTCATATTAGAATCTGATTTGGAGGGGGAAAAGCGCTTGCAAGCACACGTGCATGCACACACACAAATACACATACATACACAAGTATGAGAAAGTCTACTGCCATATATAACCACACTTAAGACAGTGACAAATTTTGAAGCTCAGAATGAGAATGCAATAAACTCAACTTCTCTAGCAGATTGTCCTCCCTATCAACCCCACTTTCTTTCACCTTGAATCTCTCCCTATATACTGGCTCTTCCCCTGATGCCTAAAAACATTTCAATGTCTCTCTCATTTTCAAAAAATCTTTACTTGATCCAACTATCCCTACTAGCTATCATCTACATGTGTCCTTCCCTTCATGGTTAACATTTTTTTGAGAAAGTTGTCCATACTCACTACCTCTATTCTTCTCCTTTCACTCTTCTAAATCCTTTGGAATCTGGGTTGCAACATCTCTATTCAGCTGAAACTGTGTTCTCCAAAGTTACCAATGACCTCTTAATTTAATTCAATTAACATTTATTAAGCACCTGTCTACACCTTCACTCATTCCCCTCAGCTCATTGGTAGAGGCAGGAGAGACAGAATACTCCTTTCACCCACTGCGACTTCCAGGTTCTCACCCTACCACTACATCACACAGTGACCTTCTTCCTTTGAGGTTCATGCTATTCATTCCTGGGGCTGCTAGGTGGTGTAGTGAATAGAGTGTCAGGCCTGAAGTCAGGAAGGCTCTTCTTCCTGAGTTCAAATCTGGCCTCAAACACTGACTACCTGTGTGACCCTGGGCAAGTCACTTCACCCTGTTTGCCTCAGTTTTCTCATCTGTAAAATGAGCTGGAGAAGGGAATGGCAAACCACTCCAGTATCTTTGCCAAGAAAACCCCAAATGGGGTCCTGAAAAGTCCACTAAACAATAAAAATAAATAAAAATTCTAGTGACTTACAGGTCATTCCTCTTCCTTCCTTAGTTCAGTATATGAGTCACAAATTTTTCTGTCCTAACTCCTGCCCTCATACTAAAGGACTTCAACATACCTACTGACTCTCCACGAAACACCTTTACCATTCAGATCCTCAACCTATTTACTTCCCATGACCTATTCCTCTACCCCATCTCAGCTATACAAAAACAGTCATATCTTTGATCTTGCCATCACCCACAAATGTATCACTTCTATTGTCAAGAATTCCTGACCATAATGGATTGACTTTTTACCTCTCTCTCTACCTTTCCTTATCAAATCCTACTATTTGTCTGTACAGTGGACCTCAAATCCCTCAACCCCTCATTACTCTTCCTGGCCATCTCCACTAGCCACTCTCTCCTCTTCTTTCTCCATCTTGAACCCTTAGTGAACCAATTCAACAGTACACTGTTCTCACAACTCCATGCCCCCTTATTATATCTACAATTACACCCTAGCACACCTTAGCCTTGGACCACTCCTACCATTTACTGCCTGTGTCTTACACGTGAGCTGCTGAAACAAAGGAGGAAAAAGCATGTGACCATTCTGACAGGGTCCACTACAAATTTATGTTACATAACCTCTACTGGGCCCTCACTGCTGCTAGACAATCCTACCATACCTCCTTTATCAACTCACTAATCCCACTATCCACCAACAGCTTTTTCAAACCTTTTCTTCCCTACTCATATGTCCCATGGTTTGCCTCTCCCCTTTCTCTCCACTGAGGCTCTTGCCTAATATTTTACAGAAAAAATTGAGGCTATTCCCCATGAGCTCCCTCTTCTCCCCTCTTCTTTATCTCAAATCACTCATATGCCGTCTACCACTATCTAAAATCTTCCTTCATCCCTATCTCACATGACAAGGCGGCCTCATTTACCAAGGTTAACGCTGCTGGGGCAATTCCATTCCATCCCATCTCCAATAGATTGCCCCCTCTGTCATCCCTGCTTTATGACTTATTTTCTGAGATGGGGTTATTTAAGTATTTTACTCCCTATTCTGTTAATCTGGGCAATTTATATTTTTGTAAATATCCATCCATTTCAATAAGATTATCAAATTTATTGGCATACTGTTGAGCAAAATAGTTCCTAATTACTGTTTTAATTTCCTCTTCATTGGTGGTGAATTCACTCTTTTCATTTCTGATACTGGTAATTTAGTTTTCTTCTTTCTTTTTTTAAACTAAATTAAGCAAAGGTTTATCTATTTTATTGGTTTTTTCATAAAACCAGCTCTTAGTTTTATTTATTAGTTAAAAAATTTTCTTAATTTCAATTTTATTCATCTCTCCTTTGGTTTTCAGAATTTCTAATTTGGTATTTAATTGGGGTTTTTTAATTTGTTCTTTTTCTAGTTCTTTTAGTTGCATGCCCAATTTCTATTACTTATTTTCAATCTCTCCTTGGCCACTGGCTCATCCCACAGTGCCTACAAACAAGCCCATTTCTTCTCCATCCTGAAAAAGATCCTCATTTGAATCTAATCTGTACCCACAAACTATTATCCTGTATCTTTTCCGTCCTTTGTGGCTAAACTCCTTGAAAAGGCCGTGGATAAGAGGTGCATCTATTATCTCTCATCTCACTTTCTTCTTAACCCCTTACAACTCAGCTACTGACTTCACCATTCCACCAAAACTCCTCTCTCCAAAGTTGCTAATGATCTCTTAGTTACCAAATCCAATGGCCCTTTCTTGATCCTCATTCTCCTTGACCTCTCTACAGCCTTTGAAACTGTTGCTCACTTTTCTCTTCCTTGATACTCTCTTCTCTCCAGGTTTTGGGGACAGCACTCTCTCCTGGTTCTTCTACTACCTATCAAAACACTCTCCATCTCCTCTGAAAGATCCTCATCCAGATCACACTCTCTAACCATAAGTGTCCCAGAGGGTTCTGTCCTGGGCCCTCTTCTCTTCTCCTTCTATACTACTTCACTTGGTAATCTCATCAGCCCCCTTGGATTTAATTACCATCTTATTTCTGTCCATTTCAGATCTATCTATCCCACCTTAACCTCTCTGCTGACCTCCAAATGCCTTTCAGACATCTCAAAATGGATGTCTAATACCTTAAACTTAACATGTCCAAAACTCATTATCTTCCCCCCCCAACCCCCCCCTCTTCTGCGCCACCCCCCCCCCCCCACCCCACCTCACCCCTCCCACCCCGCTTTAACTTCCCTATTACTGTTGAGGACAATACCATCCTCCCACAGGCTCAGGCTTGAAAGCTAGAAGTCATTCTGGACTTCTCACTATCTCTCACCTCCCATATCCAATCTGTTGCCAAGACCTGTCCTTTTCACCTTTGCAAAATCTCTCAAACATCACTTAATCCCAATTGCCTAAAACAAAAACAAAAACAAAAAAAAAATCTCTCAAATATACCACCTTTTCTCCTCTGACAATCACCACCACTCTGGTCCAGGCCTTCATCACCTGGACTACTGCAATAGCCTGTGGGTCTGCCTGCCTCAAGTAACTCCCCACTCCAATCCTTCCTCCACTTAGCCACTAAAGTGATTTTTCTAAATGGAAGGTCTGATCATGTCCCCCCACCCCCAATCCTCTGACCACACCCAATAAACTCCAGTGGTTCCCTATCACCTCCAGGATCAAATAAAAAAATGCCCTGTTCAGCATTCAAAGACCTTCACAACCTAGCTCCTCCTACCTTTCCAGTCTTCTTACACCTTACTCCCTGACAGATGCTATTTGATCCAGTGACACTGGCCTCCATGCAATTCTACAAACAAGACACTCCATCTCCTGGCTCTGGGTATTTTCTCTGACTGTCCCCCAAGCCTAGAATGCTTGCCCTCCTCATTTCCACCTACTGCCTTCCCGCTTCCTTCAAGTCTCAATGAAAATTACACAGGAAGCCTTTCCCAACTCTTAATTCTAGTGCTTTCCCTCTGATAATGTTTCTATTTATCCTGTATACAGCTTGTTTATACCTATTTGTTTCCTGGTTGTCTCCCCCATTAGTCAGTAAGCTCCTTGAGGGCAAAGACTGTCTTTTGCATCTTTCTGTATATTCAGCACTTAACACAGTGCCTGGCCAATAGCAGGTGCTTAATAAAAGCTTATTGTCTGACCAGCTAAGGCTTATGTTGGCCTTATTTATCCTCACTGAAATAAAGCTGCTGAGGGGCAGCTAGATGGCGTAGTGGATAGAGCACCAGCCCTGAAGTCAGAAGGACCTGAGTTCAAATGTGGCCTCAGACCAAACACTTGACACTTACTAGCTGTGTGACCCTGGGCAAGTCACTTAACCCCAATTGCCTAACAAAAAAAAAAAGAAAAAAAAGGAAATAAAGCTGCTGACACTTAAAATGTACCCCATCAGTGTTAAATATGCTACTTAAGTCTTCTCTAGGGTTTTCACTGTAACATTCCATAAACTAAACTAGCTGACCTTAAAGTTCCCTTTTGACCCTAAATTCTGTGATTAGGATTATAAGGCAGTAATTTACCAAATGACTATTTCAACTTAGCTGTACCCAATTCTATAAGTCATGCTCACTAAAATCCTAACAGTAGACAAAGTGATATAAGAAGTCTAGGATTACACAAGTAGACAACATGTATATATGCAAACAAAATCCAACAAAAACAAGCACAAGAGTTTGGCTGGTTATTAAAGTCATAGACAATACACAACTATGAAGATGCTATTAGACAACAAAGCCTCTCCCCTACATCCCAAGAATACCTGAATCTGCATAAATTGCTAAATGTGAAAGTAATTCCACATACATTATCATAACTATATTCGGTTATCCATTAGAATGTAAACTCCTTATAGGTAAGGACTGTCTTATTCATTGCACTTTTATCCCCCAGAATCTAGCATAAAGCCTGCCCTTAGAGGGTGCTTAATAATTGTTCACTGATTGTTTCAGTCAAGTACAAATACATACTACTCCTATGAATTTTTGGAGTTCTCTCTTAAAAAGGGTTTGCCTTAGTATAAAAAAAATTATCTGTTCTTGAGGTAAGAAAAACATTTCCCCGAGATTTTAGCAAATAAACAAATATTTACTGAAACATGCTTCATTTTCCCTCTCTCTTTTTTTCTTTCCAGCTTCATGACATCCCTTGTACTAATACTGAAGTCCTTAATGCACATTATGTTCTATGTCCGCAGTTACATTGCGACCCTCGGACTGGGAAACACTAACTTGTTCAGTTTTGTATCCCCCACAACACAAAGCAGAGAGCCTAACACAGAGAAGACACTCGGGTATTTGTCAAAAAAGCCATTTCCCATCTGGTCAAAGATATAAAGTTTTCAAAAGAAGAAATTCAAATCATCAGCAACTGTATGAAAAATTCTCTAAATCATTAATTAGAGAAATGAAAACTAAAACAACTGTAAAGTATCACTTTATACTTATCAAGTAGTCAAAGATGGTTGGAGTTTTTGAGGGTGACAGTGGGGTTAGACCTCTGATGTCACTGTAAAGGGGAACTACCAGCGTGGAAACTCTCCACTACTGCAGATTAGCAACTTACACATAATTATAGTCTTAGAGAGGGACTTGAGGCCCTAAGAAGTGAAATGACTTGAACCATATTCACACAGATGTGTCAGAGGAGGATCTGAATGCAGACCTTCCTGACTTGAAGCTAGTCACAATAGTCTTGCTACAACTACTCAACAATGATAGAAATAGTCAATGTTGGAGAACGAAAAGTCATGTTAATAAATAACTGCTTGAGCTGCAATTTGGTCCAACTATTCTATAAAACAATGTGGAATTATATAAGAATTAAGTTAACCGTCCATACTCTTTGATCCAGTGGTTCCACTATAAGGTTTATGTGCCAAACGAGGTCAATGACATAAAGAAGTGCCCCCTGAGAAAGGGAGAGGTAGAATGTTGTAAATAATCTCACATAAAAGAGGGAAGAAAAAAGCTTTTACAGTGGAAGGGAAGAGGGGGGAGGTAAGAGGGAATGAATGAATCTTACTCTCACTTGATTTGGCTTAAGGAGGGAGTAACATATACATTCAATTGGATAAGGAAATCTATGTTACCTTACAGGAAAACAGGGGGGAAGGGGATAAAAGAAGGGGGGATGAGAGAAGGGAGGGCAGATTGGGGGAGGGGGTAATCAGAAGCAAACACTTTTGAGGAGGGACAGAGTCAAAGGAGAGAAAAGAATAAATGGGGGATGGGATAGGATGAAGGGAAACAGAGTTAGTTTTTCACAACATGGCTATTATGGATATGTTTTGCATGACTACACATGTATAACCTGTATCGAGTTGCTTACCTTCTCAATGAGGGTAGGTGGGGAGGGAGGAAATTTTTACATGCAACTGGGAAATAAGATATACAGGCAATGGGGTATAGAAATCTATCCTGCCCTACAGAAAAACAGAAGGGGAAGGGGATAAGGGAAGGGGGAGGGGATAGAAGAGGAGGGAGGGCAAATCAGGCAAAGAGGTATTCAGAATACACACTGTCTTGGGGTGGAGGGAGGGAAGAGATGGGGAGAAAATTTGGAACTCAAGATATTGTGGAAATGAATGTTGAAAACTAAAAACAAACAAATTAATTAAAAGGGGGAAAAAATGCCCCTTGACCAAAATATTCATTTAAGTACTATTTATGGTAACAAAAATCTGGAAATAAATTAAATGCCCTACAAATGACAAATGGCTGAGCTGTGTATATGCGTATATATGTGTGTGTGTGTGTGTGTGTGTACATACGTACACACATCTACACATACACATATGTGATGAGATATTATCATGTTGTAAAGAACAGAAATATGAAGAACTCAGAAACATGAAAGACAGTGTATGAACTGATGCAGAGAGAAGGAAACAGAACCAAAATAATATACACAATGACAAAAATTATAAAAGAAGACAACTCAGTTCAAATTGAAAGCACAGTTTTGGTTCCAAGGTAAACATGCTTTGCACTAAGAAAAGGCAAATACAAGGGTGAAAGAGTGGAAAGTTACATCACTGGGCAGTTTTGCTTAGCTTTTTTATGGGAAGGTCCTAGGGAAGAATTTACTGGGATGTGATTTATGCCTCAAAATAAGATACATCAACAAAAAATTATGGAATGATCTCATCCCTGAAGATTTAAACTCTTTCTTCAACTACATGATTCCTATAATCTCCTTGAAGTAAGATGTTTTTGTCCTCGACTCTAGAAGGCATTTAATCCTTCCCATGTGTCCTCCTTTCTTTACTTACCCTTTTTTCACATACTGATAGGCCAGATCCCTCAGGCCTGGCCTGAAAACTGATATTCTGTGCCATGTGGTCCTTTGGCTGACATCACCTAGATTACAAAGAGGGGTAAAAATATTAGCAGATACCACACAAAGCAGAATCACTGCAATTATTCCTAAAAAAACAAACTAGAGAAGGTTCTTTTTAGGTCCTGCTGCTTAGGATGATAGCACAGACTAGGTCCAAATTCCTGAGTCTTATTAGTAATATACCACCAGTACACATAAAATTATTTAACTAGTACGTTTTCAACATGCTCAGGTTGAGTGGCATCGATGAAGTGCAAGGGACTATTTAACAAAAGGCAAGCAACTAACATAAGATAAACGAAAAACAAGTTTAAACAAAATAGTGTTTCTGTCTTGATTCAATAATTCAAGAACCAATTTTTTTAATATGAGCTCTCCACCAACCTGAACAAAACTCCTCTTAGCAGACAGTTGTCATGAACTGCTTCGGACAAAAGAAATGATTACTTGGTGGTAAACTGTAACAATAAGTTGCTCTGAACCTAAAACCTGTTCTCAGTGGTATTTAAATTTTTTTGACTTCACACCACCATCAGTCAATTTTTGGGCACATAGCTGCTTACATGTATGTTTATTCATAAATTATGTAACACATCTACTGTATTAACATCATGTATATTATAAAATATATGCAAAATAAACATTTTGAAAGATAAAGCTGAAATAGTATTTTTAAAACTTCTTTTCCTTTTTAATACTACAAAAAACCTTTTTGCTCTCACTAAAAAAATCATTTCAGTGAGAGCAATGTGAACATACTATTATTTTTTATCTTAGTCTAACAGTTTGTGACTACAGTGATTCAAAAAATCTATGTCGAGTTTATTTCTAGAGTTGCTTTTAATGACTATTATAGCAAAATTCATAAAAATAAAGAGATCCAAGTATGAGCAAAATTAAACATGCTTGCAAAAATATGCTACTTATTTTTCAATTCCATCCACCAATTATGCAAAGGTTTTTGTTGAAATTGGGCTACTTAAAAAAATTTTTCCCTTTTTAAATGAACAGAAATGTAATCTCTTCTTTCTATTCCTCACTCACTAAAAAAAAAAAAAAATCCTTTTAACATGTGCCTTTTTCATTTGCTTCCAAACTGTCTGGTGGGTTTGAAATGAGACTGATGGGGGCAGCCTTTGGAATAACGTTACAGATCTGAAAGAATTCTGTGAGCCTCAAGTCCACTGCCACAGCCTCTGACTCTTGCTGGGGCTTGTTCCCACTCTTGCTAATTATCTATGGCTGAACCCCTCCTTGTTGGGGGTGGTGGAGGGTTTTCACAGCTGGGTCCATGTGCCAGGACATCATTCACATAGGGTGGCAGCAGGGGCACAAGGAGGCCAAGCAAGGAATGACCGGCCACTGCCTTCATGGAGAGAAAGGAAGAAAGAGAATGAAGCTAGGCCATATCAAGGATGGACTGCCTGACCGCTGACCAGGGGAGGAACAAGGACAGCAGACTATCCTGGGCAGCAGCCCAGCATGAACTTAGGAAGAGGGAGAGAGAAGCAGAGGCAGACAGCTTGCTGAATAACTAGGCTGCTCTCCGTGGTTCTCATACTTTCTTTGTGCATCCCAAAAGATCATACAACTTTAGAAATCCATGCTTTAGAGGATGTATGTGTAATACATTGCTAGGAACAGAGTAGGCTAAAAAACAAGTCACTGAGGTCACTGAGGCAACTTTTAAAAAATGTACAGAGGAGAACAAAAGGCCAGAAAGAAGCACAGGCAAACAGGACAGTTTTAAAAACAACAGGTTGAACTTACTTAAAAAGAAAAACAAAAAAAGAGATTTGTATTTTTATATACAATCCTCTCTGTTATCCTATATATATGGAAATGTGTATTTAATTTTTATTCACGTCAGAATAAAAAAACACACAAGTTATCTCTATAAGGAAAAGTATTATCCAATCTGTCTTAAGGAAGTCACTATATAAAAAATGGTATAAAATTTGGGGTCACCTTTGAAAAGAATCAGCATCTTCAGTTTACTCACATAAGATTACAATGTACATATAGGTAAGAAAAGCGTCTTATAACTAAGATGTAAACTCCCATAAAAATCCTATCTATCATCAAATTAATAAACATATTTGGTTCACCCAAAAGTCTTTACAACTTACTCGGTTGAGATGTCTCACTTTCCCCTGATCGCCACATCTCATTTGTGGCCAAAGAAAAGATTGTGACTGGATTTTTTCCTTCTGACTGTCTCAGAACAGGATCCTGACCAACTCTTCCAAGTAACTGGACACGATTAAGAGCTGAAATAAAAAACAAAGATAAATGTACAACTGAAAAATGAAAACCTTAACCTGGGAGAAATACTCCAAAGAACAAGAGAACTAAGTCTCACTATACTTTAATGGGGGGAATGGGAAGGGAACCATATGCCATACATAGTGCTAAGAGCTTTATATATATTATTTCATTGGATCCTCATAAGAACCCTAGGAAGTAGGTGCTATTATGATCCCCACTTTATAGTTGAAGTAACTGAAGAAGAGAGAGGTTAAGACTTGTCCAGGGTCAGAAAGCTTAACTGCCTAAAACCACATTTGAACTCGGGTCTTCCTGATTCCAGGCCTACCCCTCTATCTATTTCACCAATCCAAAATGAAAGGTGAGGCAAAGTAGGTCAAACCAGTGCTTGGGGGAAATAAGGTGTAGAGTAGATTCTGACTTCAGAACACTTATTATTGGTACCAGAATAAAGCCTCAGAGGCAGCTTGTTACCTAGAAATGAAGGGGTAAACTTTAAAAAACATATTTACACATGATTGCAGAATTGTAATAATTGTAATAACTGTAATAACATTACAGTGGCAAGGTCAAACTGCAGCTGAGTGGTTTATTTCAATGAGAAAAAGGGAGAGAAAGTAGATTTCTGCTGATTACATAAAAACAAACTATAAATTAAAAAAAAAAATTTCTAGGATACATCCTGGGTACATATTGAGCTCAGCGTCCCACACCTTCCACATCTATACCACTATAGAATAAATTATGTTCACAATAATGACCGTGAGTTTTCAAGTAAAAAGTTAAACATACTTTGTTTAATAAGGCAAAAAAAGTTAGTTACCTATAAAACTATGCTGAGTAACAGAGGGATTTCTAAACTTATCTTTTTTTCCCACTTGCCATGTTTCCTATAAAATAAGCTTTCACAGGAGCAAGAAAGGATCAGAAGTCACCTGGTCCACTGTCCTCCTTTTACATATAAAGAAACAGAACCAGAGTGAAATTAAATTCTTTTCCATGGTGACACAGGTAGTAAGCAGCTAAGTTAGGATTTGTACCCAGGGCCACTGATTTCAAATCCAATCATCTCCTCTGGCACTACTCCATCACGAACAAGCTAGAAATTTCTGAAAGTCTGCCCTGCTTCTACAAAGTAACCTCTTATTCCTCCACCTAATGTTGTAACTTAAGATTTCAGGCCCCTCAAGCCAAGAAAGTAAAGGAAAAGAAGAACAGGAAACCAAACATGCAATAGGAACAATTAGTCAATGACAGGCTCCAACATGATCAAATACTAATCCCTGGGCTACAGACTTTAATCAGTAGACATTGGAAATGTTGTTGATGTCACCATTAAGACCAAGCGGAATTAGACCAAAGGATGCCCATCAGCCTGCCTTCACCCAGCACACGTATTACAGGACCTCAGCTACAAGGAAGAAGCCTTGTGACTGACACAAGTATTGGGGAGAATTTTGACAAGAAGTTCATGTTGGGAAATACAGGGAAGGGAGAAGGTAGATAGCCACTGCTATCTCAAGTTCAGCTTAATTTGAACATGTTTCCTTTTTCCCTGAAAATGCTGGAAGGCATGTACATGCCAAGCCTCCAATCACACATCCACTTCAGCCCATGTCCATTTGAAATGCACTACAGTACATCATGGGCGTCAGTCTACTTCCCTGGAACTGTCAGACCATTTTAAATGGGGAAATGGCGTGTGGATGGCCATCCACTCATCTTGTTCCTCTTCCCGCCCCTGCCTCCGCCCACCCCCAATCCCTAAAGATGTTATTATTTCAAATGCTTCCTAGAAGCTGTAGTCCAGTGATTGGCAATTGATTACAATGAAGTTTGCAGTTGATTATGATTTCCCTATTGAGCATCACTGGGTGAGGTTAAGTTCAACATCTCAAAGAAAAGCCAAATTACAGGCAAAGTAGGAAAGTAGATATTTGATAAGCACTTTGGCTAATGCCTGAACCACTCTTCCAACACCAGGAAGTCTCAAGGACCTCCATTCCTCTCTCCTACTTCTCTTTTACTTGTGCAGAAGAAGACAGAAGAGTGGATATCCTCTTCAAGGTATGTTCAGTTTTATGTACCCCCTTTCCTTTACCATCTCCTCTTAAGTTCAGACTTTTCAGGGAGCTTGAACTCTAAATTGATCACACCCAATAGAGGAATGGGAAGTTGTCTGACAGAAAAAGAGCAGACTCAGAAATGTCTGCTGAGGAGGCCCATCCTACCTTAGTGACACCTATTCCCTCATCTACAAATGAAGGGTTTGGACTAGATGCTCTCTAAGGGCCATTCTGGCTAGAAATCTCTTCCCCAGTGGATCATTAGTTCGGGCACAAAATCTAAGTCAATGAAAGAATTCATAGGTCATTTGTCATAGACAAATAAATTAACAGAAAAATTTAAGTTTATATATGTATGTATGTTTTCACACACATATACACACATACATACATAAACATGCTATATATGTTATATATATCAAATATATATAACAATTTAAGCTTAATTTAATATTTAAATTTAAGGTTTTGTATATAATTTATAACCTTAGCTATCAGCTACTTACATCGTTCAAGAACTAAACTGGTAGTTCCTTCAGAGTAATGTCTTGCAAACTGACGAACTACCTAAACAGGAAAAAAAAATGGGATAGCTTTAATTTCCAGAAAGAACAAACAAAACAAGTAGCAAAGAGAATATTTGCTAACCAAGAGATGTCTCTTAAAATAAACAATAAGTTGCTTTAAACAAACTCAAAAAAATAATTGTCTATAAAATATTAATAGGCTGAAAAAATTATGGGGTGGAATTTTCAAAATAATTCATCATATATGCAAAGGTACCCTCTTTATCACAAAGAGACTAAATCTTCACTTTCTCCAAGGGCATAACTATCTCCATCACAAGACCTAGTTATGTACTTAAATGTCCCTAAGAATGCAAAAGAGAGCACCAGAATAAGATAGCCCTTGATTCTGTCCTGTTCTTCTTGGATTCCCATGTGGTCAGAGTTCTTTTTAGGTCACATGGCTAAGCTAATCATTGGCACAGCCATGTGGGAAGGGAAGGAGAGGGCAATCACAGCAGCTTCATATACAAACTGTATATCAGTTTCACCACTTGGCAGGAAAAATGCCAGGTCCCCTAAAATACAGGCCCCCTAAAATAAACAGTCCCAGGAGAGATGGACATCATTCATACCTGAATGTAAACTACTTTAATCAGATGCACCAGCTTTTTTGAAGGGGAAAGTGAGAGGGCAGAGCAAGGAACAGAAAGTTCAGAAAAGGTAAGGAGAGAACCATTTAGTCAGCCAGAAGGTAGCACAAGGACACCAGGAGCCAGGGCAGCTGATGGCACAATGAATTGTACACTGGGCCTAAAGTCAGGAAGACTTGAGCTCAAACCCAAACTTACATCTTAGTAGCTGTTTGAACTTAGGCAAGTCACTTAACCTCTGTTTGCCTCAGTTTCCTCAACTGCAAAATGGGGATAATAATAGTACCTACTATGCAGGACTACTGTGAGGTTTAAATGAGATAACTTTAAAAAATGCTTAGCACAGTGCCCACTACATAACAGGCACTTAATGAATGTTCTTTCCTTTCCCCTCCCCTTACCCAGGATATGGCAAAAGGAAGCTGGTGGTAGGACAGTGGTTCATAAAAGGGGACAGGTAACAAAAGGCAATTTTGCTCCAAGCAGCTAGTCCACCACCAGAAAAATCATTGCTGTAAATGACTAATATATCTGGTCTAGTTAGGATGGCCACAAAACTTCTCCCAATTCAACTCTGTACCCCAATCCACTTCATGCTCCACTCCCTTCAGAAGGGAAGAAGAAAAAATAGACAACATTGTGATTCTCTTCCCCTTCCTCTCTATTACCATCATCTGAGTCTACTTTAAACAGAATACAAGACACTGGAGCTGATACAAAATTTAGATAAGAAATCTGCTGTACTTAATAGAGCTCAGGCTTTATGACAGTTTTGGGATTGCTCTATCTCCAGGATATTAGAATATACCCCAGTATATGCTTAAGGTACATTATAACATTATACCGTGTGTGTGTGTGTGTGTGTGCACGCGTGCGTGTGTGTGTGAACAACTAACCAAATACACAAAGCCAATTTTAAAAAAAAGAGATACAGATAAGTGAAATTGTGGGTAGTCTACTGGGTCAAAAGTTAAAACACATGTGCACAAAGCTTGGATCCTGATTCGTGATTCTCCAAAGTCTAATTTTCAAACAACTATAGTCCTCAAGAGTTCTCAGATATTCTACCAGCAGACTGAAAATCCAAGTCACTCTACCCTATCAAGACAAGTGGAGTTTTGTTTTTTTTAATTAATCTTCCACTTCAGAAATGACTACATTAAAACAATACACAACTGGCTATTTTTAAATGGAATGATAGTGATCATTCAGGCAAAAGTCCAAGACTTTTTGAGCCTTCAGCAAATGTGAACATTTAAGAGAAATAAATGTAAGGCAGAACTATGTTGTGTTACAGATCCCTTTGGTAGGCTGGAGAAAACTATGGAATCCTCAGAATAATATTTTTTAAATAACTGAAGGAAATGCTAAATTTTAATCAGAGGTTAGTGAAAATGAAAATGTAATTTTCCCCCCTTAAGATCTATCTGCAAGATACAGTCTCTTCAAGCCATTTTCATACGAAATAGTTGATAAAAAGAGCAGAAAAAGTGCTCTGAAATATTTATATTGCTTGTCAAATGAAGTTGCATATTGCTACCGTTAGGGATGAATACTTTGATGTCTAATATGAGTAGCAAATGAACATTGTTTCATTATGAACTGCTAAAATATATGAAAAAACTTACTTTCAGACAGGATTTTGGACAGTTTTGAAGAGATCTATAGTTTGGATTCCAGAACTTAGAACTCTTTGTTAAGGGGCAGCTAGGTCGAGCAGTGGCTAGGGCACTGGCCCTGGAGTCAAAAGGCCTGAGTTCAAATCCAGTCTCAGACACTTGGCACTAGCTGTGTGGTGTTGGGCAAGTCACTTAACCCTGATTGCCTCACCAAAAAAAAGTGATAATTATTTATTAACAATGTGGAGTGATGTCTTAGTTGTATGAGAACAACTTGATATCATAAAGACTGAGAAAGATCTATTATTTATGAAAAACTAGAAAAACATGAGTGTGAAGAAACAATTTCAAAGGCATCAAAGACAGAGACTGCTTTGTTGAAGACTTAAAGGGAGACATGACAGGTACTTCATCACATTTGTACATACATGATTTATGATTAAAGAGTGCAAAACTAAGATAATGAGAAATCATATAATCATATGGAGGTTGAGATATGACTGAAAAAGGTCTGTTGACTTGACTTGGAAAGGTGTGACTTTTTCAGTAAAAGGTGAGCCACTGAGAGTCAGAAGGTTCTCATTTAAAAACACTTCAGTACAATGAAGACAAGAGAGGGCAGCAGCAGGTGAGAGGAACTGAAGGGGAGGAAGAGGTGCTAAGAGGCCCAGCTGGAGCTCCAAACAGAGTCAGCAGAGAAGGTTCCACGGAACTCATGACTGGTCAGAGAGAACTGACATCACTGCATAGGAGCTCCAGGCACAGCTACTGCCCTTCAGCTTTACCTACAGCTTGATAAAGGTGGAGCTTTTCCTATGCGCTCTGCTCTCTGGAGCCCTCTGACCTGAGAAGGAAAAGCAGTGGGGTTCCTAGCTATTTCAACATCCAGAACAGCTGGTTTAAGAAGAAAGTTGAACTGTGCTGAACTGTGTGAGCTAGGTTATGACTACACAACACAGGTTCTGGCTGCACAGCACAGCATCCTGGTCCGGCCTGGACTGGTCTGTATAGCCTAGGGCAGGGCTTCTTAAACTTTTTCCATTTGGGACCCCTTCAGTGCTTCTTAAACTGTGGGTCATGACTCCACAGACTACCTCTACTACTTTGATGAAAAAGTTTGCCTAGGCTGTTTTCCAGTCAAGGAGGATTTCCCCCAGCTGAACAGTGGTGAGGGTCAGAAGTGAAGCTTATCAGCAGAAAAGCCATTCCATGTAATACAAATGTTCCTGAATGGAGCCATGACACTAAAGCCTGCAGCCTATTGCAGAGTTACACCAATCACTTGTTTCTCTCCCTGTTATACTTCTCTTATAGGTTGTTGCATGTACCCACTCTTCACCACACCTAAATAAACTGGTGGAAGAGAACGATCCAATAATATTATTTCTTTTGCCTTATTATTAAGCAAAAGGTTATGTTTCAGATCTAGAAGTGTCATTACTGTAGAAGGCTTCACAGAGAGAAAACGTGCTGGATGGGGGCTCAAGAGCTAGAGTAGTGAGGAATAGAAATCCCCTAGGATTCTGAGAGAGTATGAGTATAACCATGTGGTGCTGGGAACTTAGACCAAATAGTGTGAGTGTAGGTTGGGAGAGCTAGTCAAATTTAGAGAGAAGTAGAGTCTATTACACATCTAAGTGGAAGGTGGGAGATGCCCCACCCCAAGCCCAGCACAGTACAGATGATGGCTATTGTACCCCATAGCACCCAATTTGTCTTGTCACATTCTGAGGGCATTGCTAGAGGTCACAGGTTACTCCTTAACTGTTACTACATTCTCACAGTCCCCTTAGGAATCTCTGAACTTCAGGTTAAAAACCCCTGGTCTAAGAGGGGTTTTTGCCCCACCAAAGTGATGGTTTAAAAGTGCTCTAACTTTTTAAACATATCAGAGAGCAAATGATCCCATGACCGTGATGGAAAGAAAAGTTACCTGTAAAACAGGTCTTCGAAACATGGCTTCTATCTTTTCTTCTTAGCTGGTTTGGAGTTTCTTCCTGAAGAATAAAAAAATTGAGTTATATGCTGCTCTCTATGCCAACTAAAATAGCTTTAAAGTCTGGATTCCAGAGGATACTTGTGTATTCAAGCTGATACCAGAAGTCCTCATAAACAGAACAAAGGGCTGCTGATTTAAATTTTAAACTAAAAAAGGTCTGAAGGCTTCAGAAATTATTTCATGCTGTAAACCAGCACTTCCTAAACTGTGGGTCTCAACCCCATATGGGGTTGCAGAAAAATGTGGCAACAGTAAAAGGTTTCTGAATGAATGACCAAAAATTAATTAAAAATCAAACTTATAATGAATCGGAGGTGTTTCTGGCCCATGCTGCATGGTGCAACTCCACTGCAGCCTTGATCCCGGTACTTTGCACCGTGCACGCCCTCAGGCCAAGCAAATGCTGCTGACACGAAAAAGGGAAGCTCTGCTTTAAACAACCTCCTGATAAAGAATTATGGCTCTGATGTATGGATAATCTGTCCACAAAGGCTATTCCAGGCCCACCCTCACCAGCTGGAAAAAGACTAGAATAGCCTCAATACCTTCACCACCATACCATCCACTCACTTCTAAACCCCTCTCAAATTGTTTTCTGGTTTCACTCTACTCAAACTGCTCTCAACCTGCAATCTCTTAACTGCTAACTCCAATGGCCTTTCCTCAGTATTCATCCTCCTTGACTTCTCTGCAGCTTAGGACTTTGTGGAGCTGTGGGGAAAAAAGACAAAAGCTGGTCTCTGCCCTCAAGGAGCGTACATTCTAATGAGGAAGACAAAAAGTATATTTAGGATATATAAAAAATGAATTCAAGGTAGTTTGGGAGGGGCATACATTTCTAGAGGGGGAGGAGAGACCAGGAAAGTCTTATTCTGTGACACAGTTCTCTTCTTGTCTTCCTCCTACTTATCTGATCATTATTAGTCTTCTTTATTGGACCATCCACCTGCTTTCTGGAACTGTCAGTTCAATTAAGCAGAGGACTCTCAAATTGGTAGTGAAGGAATGGAAGATAGACATGATGACTGTCTTCAAATATTTAAAGGATCCTTTTCATATAGAAAAGGAATTGCACTCTTTTTTGTTTATCTCCAGATGGCAGAACCCGAAGCAATGGGCAGAAATTAAAAAAGATAAATTTGGGGTTGGGTAAAGAAAAACTATTAGAGCTATCCATAAGAGGAATGGACTGGGGAGTGAGGATATAGCAGGTTCTTCCTCAACAAAAATCTTCAAGCAAGTATAAGTGACTGACACACATAATAGGTCCTATATCAATGCATGGTAAATTAAATTGCAACCTATATCCAACCATGATCCCTCTTTTGAATGCCAGTACTATGTAGCCAACTTCGTATTCAATTATATACCTATACCTCCCGATGGTATCTGAGTCAATATATCTAAAACAAAACTGATGCTCCGCTCTTCCTTCAAGCTCCCCAGTTTTAACCTGTCATCCTTGATTCTATCCTCTTCGTCCAGCACAACATCCGATAAGTTGCCTGGTCTTATCTATTTGTCCTCCACCTCAACCTTCCCCTTCTCTCCACTCAATCACCCAGTTGTTCAAGCCTTCTCTCATATTCTACTATCTTTTAATTGGTCTCTCTGCTTCTATTACCTTTCTTTTCCAATCTCCCCAAACAAGTGCAAAAAAAAAAATCTTCCTGGAAGTCTGACCACTATCACTGTGCTCAAAAACCTTAACTCACTTCCCCATGCCTCCAGAATAACATGCTCCTCGATTTCACCTCTTCCCTCCACAATTTGGCTCCAATTTCCCCTTCCGGCCTTAAATCTCGTTACTCCCCTTCAAGAATGTTTACATTCCAGTCAAACCGGCTTACAAGTTATCTCCCAAATTTGACATTCTAAGCCCCCAAGCCGTCCTACAGGTGGAATACAAGCCCATCAAGTCTCGATCTCTGAATACTTTCTTCAGTTCTTAGCTCAGGTACAACTCCTCCAAGGATAACGTAAATTCCTCGGGGATGGGAACCATTTTCATTTTTTTGTCTTCGCAACTCTAACGCCTGATTCAGTGGTACAGTGGGTGTGCAAATGATGGGGGGTGAGGGGGAAGGGTAATTAGTACATCAAAGTCAGTCAAAGTTCACACCCCATCTCATCCACCTTCAGAGAAGGGAATCAGAGAATCCACACCACCAGACAAAGGAGGAGACACACAAGCAGGGTCACTGATTTTGGAGCTGGGTCCTTTAGTGGTCATCTAGTCCAATACCCTCGTTTTACTGATGAGCAAAGCAGAGTGAGGAGTGCCCCGGCTATGGCGTCCGAGGCCAGATTCTGCTTCTTGACTTGGAGACCGTGGACAAGTCACTGAACCGCTCTCAGCGGTCCTGGTTTCCTCAACCACAAAACAAGGGCGGCGTGGGACTACACGGCCTCAAACCCTCAGTCCTGAATCTACTGCGTGAGCAAACAGCAGCGCCGGGACTGGAACGCGCCCCGGGTACGCTTACGCTGCGTCACGTGGGCGGAAGAGACTACTTCCCCTCAGCCTCCTCCTCCCCTTCTCCATCACTTTCCCCGCACGCGGTGGGAGGGTCCCCGTTGCACTAGCTCCCGCTCCTAAGGCCAACGCGGGCCTTGCCAACGAGTTGGGCCGCTGAGAAGGGCGGCAGCGCGAGAAGCCGTCCCGGGCCACCCCGCCCGCTCTCCGCTTCGTTCCCTTCCTTCTTCCCTCCCCGCCTTTACCTAATGTGGAGGCCCGCGAACGGCGCCGAGCCAGGCAGATGGGGACCCAGGAGATGGAGCGCGCCGGAAACGGAAGTGCCTCCGCCGCGCACCCACGGAGGCGCCAGCGCCCCCATGCGGCCAGGAGGGACCGACGCAGCGCCTCTGTGCGGGCCTCGTCCCGAGATCCTGGAAACGAGGCTCTGCGGCGCCTTTGCGCGCTCTTCTCGCTTTCGTCCTTGCCCGCCCTCCGGCCCAAACCGTGGCTCGCACCCCGGTCTAACGCCGCTCTCCTTACGTCGTCTCAATTACTATCAATTCAATTAATATTTGTTTATGTCTACTATGAGTCTGGCTTTTCGCAGCACGGGGATACAATTAAGAAAAAGTTCCCGCCCTCAGGGAGCTTACCTTTTCATGGGGGGAGGGGAGGATCCCAAGACGCCCTACCCTAGTACCTGCCTGGCGCGGCCCCAGCCCGCAGTCTATGCCTTCCTTCATGTCTGCTGAGGCTAAGCTCAAATACCCACCTTCCCTGAGTCTCACCATGCTTTCTATGACCCCACCTGGCTCTCCCTTCTCTTCACCCTTGCCATTCCCATCTACACAGGTCATTCGACGTTTGCCAGATTGCTATCTTGTATTTTTTTTTCTTTCGTGGCCTTTAATAATGATTTTGGAGAGAGGAAAAAAACCCCACAGAACAGCCAAAGCTCCTACCAAACAAAATTTTTAAATAAAAAAAAAAAACGCTATGCAGACAATAAATTTTATAAGGGGCCAAGTTAAACACATTTCTAAGACAGTCATAAATAAGCCAAAACATTAATAACATATGCTTAATACTTCCTCAAAACATGTTAAAATGTATTATCTCACCACACCCTCTGAAGAATCTAGTAAAATCCTTATCTGTAGCAGAAGAGGAAAACAAGGTACAGATAAGCCGATTGTCTTGCCCTGGGTCCCACAGCTGGTTAGCAACGCAAAAATATCAGATCCTTTGAATCCTAATCTCTTTCCCCCTCCCAGTAAACTAAGGGGGGAAAGGGCAAGGGTATTTGTAACCTCAGTAATTAGCACAGTATTTTGGATGCAATAGGTATAGAGTATGTTTGTTGAACTGTGTTGTATAGCAATGGTTCAATTCGATAAACATTTCACATAAATAATTTACATTAGAGTTTGTTTTTTTAAATATCCAGTTTCCCATAACATTCTTATCAATAAAATGGGAACATTTAGGGACTGGGAGCCAGGGCAGCATAATTGTAAGCAAGAACCACACATGAATATCATCAACATCATGATCTCATCGTCAAACAAAGCAAAATTGGTGGAGACACTGCACAACTTTGCAGGACCTTGTAAGGACCTAGTCCTGGAGGGATATATAGTATCTTACTGTATTATGGAATTCTTGAGTTTAGTATCATGTAATCTCTGAATTGAAAGAAATCTCTGAATTTTGCTATTTTAACTTTAGCCTAATCAGAATTCCCTCTACAACATGCTTGATAAGTAGTCATCCAATCTCTGCTTCCAAAAACTTTCACTACCTCCCAAGGCAGCCCATTTCACTTTTGGACAGATCTATTTTTTTTTTAATTATAATGTGTATTGACAAGTACAAATATTCAAATATGTAAATAAGAAAATAAAATCAACCAAATGATGCAAAATAAAAGCACTAAAAATGACTATATATCTGTAAATTGCCATTTTTTATGAATTGTTAATGCAAACCTAAAAGATGAAAATACTGACTTTATCACTGTAGTAATTCACATTCATTTTTTTACTTTTTTAGTCTTTTCTATGGATTTTTGTTATTGTTTTTAATTACATAATTATAGTTAGTGTCTATATTCTTTTGTTTCTGTTTTCATCATTGCATTACTTACTATCTTCCATTTCTTTGAATTCTTCACATTCATCCTTTCTGACACAATAATATTCCATCACATTTATATTCCATAATTTGTTTAGCCATTCTATCATTGAACATCTAGTTTGTTTTTAGGGGTTTTTTTTGATAATTCTAACTTTTAGACAATGTTTCCCTAACATGGGGCCTTAAATCTGTGATTGCAATTTCTACCTGTCTGTGAGTTATAATGAAGCCCTCTGGGACCAAGCAGAAACAGCCCAATCACTCTTCTACCTTATAGCCCTTTAAATGCTTGAAGATAAATACTATGTCCCACCTAAAACTTCGATTTTATAGGCTAAACACAATTGATCCATGCATGGCAGAGTCTCCAGTCACTTTACAATTCTGAAAGTCTTCCTTTGGACCCATTCTAGGTCTTTCATTCATTTAACAAGCATATCTGAAGTGTCTGCCAACTGCAAAGAAGACAAAGACAAAGACTCCTGACTTGGAGGAGTTTATATTCTTTTTTTTTTTTGGCTAGGCAATGGGGTTAAGTGACTTGCCCAGGGTCACATAGCTAGTAAGTGTTATGTGTCTGAGGCCGAATTTGAACTCAGGTCCTCCTAACTCCAGGGCCAGTGCTCTAGCTACTGTGCCACCTAACTGCCCCAGGAGTTTACATTCTAATGGGAGAAAACAACCCTTGCTCAGAAAATTAATAATAATATATATAATTAATTACCATTACATATCATATAGTTAACACTATACAGAGAGATCATACTATACGTAGTATTAATTTTCTATGCAAGGGTTGTTTTCCCCCATTACAATATAAATCCTCTAAGTCAGGGACTATCTTATTCTTATCTTTGTCTCTGTTGCAGTTGGTGTGTGTGTGTGTGTGTGTGTGTGTGTACCTATGTATACACATACATACACATCATACACACACACATACAAAGTAGATGGAAGCAGGAGAAAATGGTTGGAAGCAGGAGAAAATGGAGTAGACTATTTGTGGGAGATGCCATTTGAGTTAAGCTTTGAAGGTAGCTAGAGATTACAGGAAACACATGTGAGTCAGGAGTGTGTTCCAGGTACAGAAATGGCCTGTGAAAGACACAGAGACAGGAGAAAAAATATTGTGTATAAGGAACAGAAAGCAAGCAAGTTTGGTTGTTACATGGTGTGAGGAGAGAAATGTGAAATAAACCTAAAAAATTAGGCTAGAGCCAGATTATAAAGGTCTTTTTGCCCCTACAGAATTGTACGTGTTTTAACATAAAGGTAAGAGAGGGCCACAGGACCTCCTTGAGCGAAGTGACGCGGTCAAACTTGTACTTTAACAATATCAAGTTGTCCCCTCTGAAGGGCAGATTGCAGAGAGGAAGAGCCTGGATGTGGGTAGACCATTTAGGAGATTAAGGCAATAAGTCTAGGACAGGGACCTTGAGGATCTGAGCTACAGAAGTGGATGAGAGGAGAAAAAGGGAAAGATGTAAGATATATTGTGAAGGTAGAATCAATAAAACAAGGTAACTGATTGGATATGAGGCTAAGGGAAGAACTAAGGATGACCCCAAGGCTGGTGAATATAGATAACTGGAAGGCTAGTGGGACCCTCCACAGACATAGGGAAGTTAGGAAGAAAGGAGGTTTGGGGAGCATGATAATAAATTCTATTTTGAAAATGTTAAGTATAAAATGCCTCTGGGATATAAAATTGGAGTCATCTCGTAGAGAGTTAGTCATGTGAAGAAAGACTGGGACTGGATATATAAATCTAAGAATTATGAATAGAGATGATAGCCAGATTAATCTGAAGAGTGGAAGATGAGAAAGTGGAGAGAATGAGGAGAGGTGTAAGACGGTAGCATAAGGGTATTAGTAGAATCAAGTTAAGAGTTTTTTTAAGATGATGAAGTTCTGGTCATGTTTATGAGCAAAGTGGAAGGAACCATTGAATGAGGAGATACTAACAGTTTGGGAGAAAGAGGAAGTTCTATTCAAAACCTTCTTGATGCAGTCTGACCAGGGGAGAATTCAGTAAAATCATTATTTCATTCATTCCAGTCACTGTGCCTCTTGTAACAGCCTAAGATTGTGGTAACTTTTTTATCTACCAGCACACCCGTAAGAGAGCACCAAGACATTGTGAATAAATTCAATGTCCCTGGATGCTGAAGGATCTCTTAGCTATTAATTCAGAATCTTCAGGAATACACCAAGAATGAACTAGCGTTGTGGAGACAAAAACAACACCTCAATTTTCAAATAAAAGGGGGTAGGGCATGATGAATCCTGGAAACTTTGTACTAATTTTAAAAAAAATTCTAGAACATATTATTAAATAGATGCTTTGCGCACCTCAAAAGAATGCAGTGATAGGATCTTTTTTCAGAGTCTACTCTAGACCCTTCTTGCTTTGTGCGTTTCTGCATGCTGTTCCAACATGTCACCACAAGATGGCTCCCTTATTTGGAAGGTTAAAACCTTAAAGCTAAACCTCCAATTATGTAGCTAATTCACTATTAGAAAAATATAATTCTTTATTAATAAAATTGAATTATAGAATCATAGACTATTAGACATGGAAGGAACCATAGAGATCATCTAGTCCAACCTCTTTCATTTTGCGGATGAGGAAACTCATTAATCATTCTGCACCCACATATTCATTCAGAAATATTTATTGAGAAATCACTCACTAGAGGCAATATATTGTGCTAGATGCCATGAGAGAAAGAAAGAAGATACAGTACTTGCTCTCATGGAGTTTACAGTTCTAGTAGGAGAGATAGAGGACAGCTAGGTGGTACAGTGGACAGAGAGCCAGGCCTGAAAGACTCATCTTCCTA